TTGTCTTTCTTCTTGTTTCTTTTCTTTTTTCTCCAACAACTGCTGTAATCTCTCCTCTTCTTGTTTCTTTTCTCGTTCTTCTTGTTTCTTTTGCTGTTCTTGTATTGCTGCCATCAAGTCTGCTAAGTCGTAGTTTGATTTGCCACTTCTCGTTTCCATTCTTTTTTCTTGGTCCCACTCTCTGGCACCATTTTTTTGCGTATCTGCTTGTTTGTTAATTTCCGGTAGAAATTCTTTCCGATGAACTTCAGTGATACAAGTTCTTTCTTGATTAAACCAGTGTATTTTTCTCGATACAAACTTTTAGTACACGGTAATTTCACAATCAGTACGTTTCTCGTCACTTTAAACTTAACGACTTTCATAATACACGCTATAAACCACAGCGATTCAAAATCTCGATAACTTCACACACTAGCTCGAAACAGAATCGTAAATTTCCCGGAACTCTCTTCATTCATTGCTGCAGGCTTTTTCTGCCAGGCTTATATACTAAAAAGGAGGTCGTCTCGAACAAATTCGGTCTTCCCCGATAATTCATGATCATTCGAGAAATTCGTCACGTGTTACCAGTGTCACGTGACTTCCGCTGTCGTAACACTATGTATATTGATTGTAGTACTATAAATGGATCAAGAGTTTATTTTGTTATTTTCTTTACAGTATGTACGGTTTTACAGCTCAAAATGTTTAGAATAGTGTCATGAAACTAAGCCTAAAATGTCGATTATCTGATAGAATGTTAATTAATTAAATCTACTCAAAATATGACGATGATCAGGAAAACGTTTTACTAATATATTTTGCGAGCTAGTCTGGAATTCTGCCGAAAATGTATCCAACTAAGGCAAAGTGTGTGTAGTATGTTACTTATTCAAGTAGAAAAAATACCGTGTTTTGTTACCAGCAATGCCGGGACTGTAGAACAGAAGATCCAGGGTTCTCTTTGTTACAAAACATGTTCCACACTTCTAGCTGTAGGAGCGTTATAACTGTCATAGTCAATATCACTATTCGGTTAAGAATAACTTCATTAGCGGTGGATCTAGATCGCTGGTTGTCCTCCCTCGTGTCAGCAATTCTTAATTAGAAATGGTAGTTCTGAACCGTGGTCCCCTTTCATCTGAAGCATGTAGCCATTGTGCTGCATAAGGTGCCATTCAGGATGAAGCTATCTAAATACCACTAAGCTGGGGCAGTCTGGGTGTAAAAATTGATCCTGTTGGCACCTTTAAAACCTACAGGTGTATTAGTTATTCAGGAAACTTTTACTCAAATTATTGACATGTTGTGGTCTTTAGGGTATACTTTGTCTGATGTATTTTGAGCTAAAACAGAGCATTTTACTTTCAAAATAATTAAAAAACAGCATTGTTTTACTTGGAGAAAACTAACTGATGAACTTAAGAACTAGCGTGCATATATAAATATAATAACCAAAATGCTAAATTTAAAAAATCACTAATCTCCTTTAGGGGCACCAGTGTGTTGACTAGGGTTGAAATTTTTTAAGTGATCATAACTCACAAATGGCTTCTGTAATAATAGGCTATAAATTCAGATAATATTTATGTGTGGCCATGTCGTGATATAGTGATCTGCGAATCGGAGAGTCCAAGGTTTGAGCCGCGATATGTGGCTAAATGCGTTCCGTTCTTTCAACATTGAGGTATGTTATAAGACTGACAGTCAACTTAGCTGTTCGGTTCAAAGGTGGTGGAAGGTGCTGTTGACTGGCAGAGCCAAACCCTGGGATTCTCTAACCGGGCCGGTTAACATGTGTTCGCTTAAGTTCTTGTTCAGGTTAAAAATACCAACATTGTAAACATGTGTTATTAGAGGTTTTTAAGTCTTATATTGTCCATGTGAGTGCGCTTTAATTAATCAGTTGTTAGATAATTTTTGTCATTTTAGTCATAGACAATAAAATAGACGTGGAAATAATATTTTGTTAAATAGCAAAGCTTCATTAATATGCCCCCTCCTCCGATAGTTCTCTGATAATTCTCAAAGCTTATAACGCTAAAAGTTTGGTTTTGATATTCGCTGTGGGCGCAGCACAGATAGTCAGTCTAGATAGTTAACAACAAACAAACAAATAAGCATTAATAATTTTATTCAAACGTTTAATATGTCAAATTGAAACTTAGTAGGTTTGTCTGTCTGTCTGTTTGTTTGTTTCATCACTAAGTTACACAATTAGCTATCGGTGCTATGTCCTCTTCGAAGATCAAACATTGAACCTTGCATTGGAAAGCTTGAAATTTACTTAATATTCTTATACGCGAAAAATAACAATGACAGTAATTTGGAACTGAAACGGTTTCAAATTTTCTATTCTTTGGTTCCTTTTATTCTTAGAATAGCTTCCCAGTGGTTCAGCGGTAAGTCTGAAGACTTATAACCCTAGAAATTGGGCTTGGAGACCCCTGGTGGAAACAGTACAGATATACTATTGTGTAGTTTTGTTCTTGAAAACAAACAAACTTATAAAATAATATTTTCCATAATAACCTAACAAACATTTAACTTAATAGAAGTCCCCGATGAGTGAGTGGTAAACTTCCGGGCATATAATCCTAAAATTCGGGGTTCAGTTTTTCTCGGTGGACAGATCGAAGACCGTACTAAATACGTGAGATTTGCGCAAAGAAGAGATCAATTTTGTTTATCAAATACAACGTCTGATTGGGACAAGTAATTTTTAAATAATTAATAGAAAACGCAATACAAAAATTTATAATAGGAAGTGTATGAAAGATTAATAAATTAAATACTCCCTGTTTCACAACCACTCGTTCTTGTTTTACCTTTTTTTTTAATTCTGGTATAAACAACCTAATAGCTAAAAACAAAGTAACCTATCAGGCTTCAAGGTTGCATCACGTGGTTTCAAGCTTGGAATTACAGAACCACAATGCTGATTTTACACTTAGATGTGCTAGTGGCTCCTAAGAAACTAACCTTCAAGAGCTGGATATTAACAGTAATGTAAGTTTACGGTAAATACTTTCTATTGGTTAAACAAAATGTATTATTATTACTACAAAATAAATCCCAGTAATGACGTCATCTAATATTGGATGTTTTGTTTGTTGTTAAGCGTAAAGCTACATAATTGGCTATCTGTTCTCTGCCTACCACGCGTATTGAAACTCGGATTTTTGCGTTGTAAGTCTTAAACTTACCACTAAGCTTCCGTGGTGTCTATTTTCAGGAATGACATGCAAAATATGTGTTTGTTGCTGGGCAAAAAACTGCGCTGTGCTCACAGTAGGGACTGGAGCCCATATTTTAACGTTATAATCCTTCAAGCTTATCACTGATCTAACGGGTGGTAAAAATGAACTGGTTTATTTCCATGTGTTCGAGGAGTATGCATTACATTCTCCCGTGATAATCTCTTGGACGAAATATCTAGGTGAAAATCCTCTAGGTTCAGGTTTAGCCGTCCCTAATTTTGAACTGCTGAGTTCACTAAACGTCTAGGTGAGAAGCCCCTAGGTTAGGATTTAGCCGTCCCTAATTTTGAACTCCTGAGTTGACTAAACGTCTAGGTGTGAGATGCCTCTAGGTTCAGATTTATCAGTCCCAAATTTTGAACTGCTGAGTTCACTAAACGTCTAGGTGAGAAGCCCCTAGGTTCGGATTTAGCCGTCCCTAATTTTGAACTCCTGAGTTGACTAAACGTCTAGGTGATTAGCGTGTCTGACTGAATATTGAAAGGTCAAAGGTTTGAGCCACGGTGCTGCTTAACACCTACTCACTTTCAGTTGTGTATATTCAACTTATTATTACTTTTTCTGTCTCTCTCTTTGTATTTGTTAAATGCAATGTCCAGACAGAAAGCACGTGTGCTACCACATTAATGTAGCATCATGAATACTACATCATTCTGTCACGTGGCTATCAGTTATAGAGAGCTGGGGGTGGCCAACTGTTTAGTGCGCTCCGACTGTGAATCCAAAGCCTCGCTTATTGCCCCAAAGTCGCGCTCCTTACTGTGTGGCCATAGATGCCTATAACATTGACGATGAAATCCAGCTATTCGGTCGAACAAGAGTAGCCCAAAAGTTAGCGGTGGGTCCTGTTAAGTTGCTGCTTTACATCTAGTCTGTCGGTTCAAAATTATGGACGGCTAGTGTAGTTAGGCTCTTGTGTAGCTTTGTGCGATTGTCAGAAACAAACTATAGAGATTTTTGACATATATATCACATTTTTATTTTGCGTCGCGATATTTCTCATCCAACATGAACTTTATATTTTTAAAGTGTATTTAATATGAATTTATTTCTTCTGAGTATGGTGGTTTAAGATATATCTTGGTTCGTTCTTCTTTTTTTTTCAGGAAATTTCTTGCTAAAACACAATTTCCATATTTTATTCGTCTGTTAGTATTCATATCTGGAATTTCTTTGGTCATCGTTCTTGTTTTGAACTCCAGCGTCAGTTACAATAATCGAAAAGATATTCACGACTTTAAGACTCAGCACATGTCGGGCTATATTGATTCTGGCAAGTCCTTAAAAAATGACGATTATCCATCTCTTAATAGCCAGAGAATGCAAAGTTCTGGACCTAAACAGAGTTGGGCCAAACGACCAGATAACTATACATATTTTACAAGTAACGCCTCTTTTTTCCACCAGTTTCTTAATAGGCGACAACAAGACATTTTACTTTTTCACAAAGATAGTGGTCAGCCTCGCGATCAAGTGATCATCAATAATACTTTACTATGTGGTGCTGACGAAGGGTCAGCTTTCCTTTTGCTAGTTCTTGTGGTCAGTAGGCCCCTTAACATGGAAGCTAGAAATGCTATTCGAGAGACGTGGGGCAAAGATCTAAAGGATAAAGGGGCAAAATTGGGCTTTGTTTTAGGCTTTCCTACAGTGGATAGTCTTCAGCGGAAGCTTCTTCAAGAGAATTCTGTCCACAAGGATCTGATCCAGGGGAACTTTCTGGACACCTATTTCAATCTCTCAATAAAAACCCTCGCCTTGCTCAGATGGGCATCACTCTTCTGTTCAAAGGTAAAGTTTGTTCTGAAATCCGACGATGATATGTTCATTAATAGCAGGGCCTTGCTAAAAGTAGTGAAGACGCGAAACGACACCCGCACGATCCTTGGATTGCTGGCCCACAAGTGGCCTCCCCATCGGAATAAAAAGAGTAAGTGGTACGTACCCCCAGAGATCTACCCCTACGAGTACTATCCAGATTTCCTGGCTGGTCCAGCGTATCTCATTTCCGGAGACGCTACGTCGTTGCTCTACGCTGCTAGAGAAAGCACGGTCTTCTTTTACTTGGAAGACGTCTATATAACTGGAATATTGGCAGAGAAAGCTGGAGTTCGCCGCCTAGGTCTCTTAGGGTTGAACAATGTTCGACAAACTTTCAAAGACGTCATATCTCAGACGGCAATAACTAGCCACGGTCACAGCCCTCGATCGCTCCGAAACTGGTGGAAATTGGTACTTCTTAAAACAATGTATTCACCTAAAAACAATGAAACAATAATTAACACAGCAACAATAACAACGCTGTCAATAGGTCTTAGCAACAATAAAAAACTTTTAACAGACCTTAGCAAGAAGAAATAAATGACATAATTTCTGTAGTGCATGTTGGTGTATAGAAGACCTATTAATACTAGAGATAAACGACATTATAACACCAAAATGTTTTTTTTATTTCTAGTATTAAGGAGAAATAAATGTTAAGGTCATATATTAGGTCGTCAAGAAATTAATGTCGCTTTTTTAGATGAAAAAACCCAAACAACTTGTATATCAAACCAACACATTTATTAAATGAAATAGTCTCCATTTTTATCGATGATACTTTTATATCTTACAATCAGGTTGTTAATGGTCTGATTAAAGAAATCACTTAGCTTTGAAGCAAAAAACATGTCGATGTCCTCTTTAAGACATTCCACATTTGCATACGTTTTCCCATTAAGGTGGTATTGCAGCGAAAAAGAAAAAGATGGTAATCTGATGGTGCCATATCTGGAGAATATGATGGGTGGGGGAGAATTTGCCTACCCACTCCATAATCTTGTGTTGCATCAAACGTGTCACATGTGGACGTGCATTGTCGTGGAGAAGGAGAACACCTTTCCGATTGACGAGTGAAGGGCTTGATTTAAACGTTCCAGTTGCTGACTATAGATATCTGCTATAGTTCGCTGTGGATTGAGGAGTTCGAAAAGAATTACTCCTTTGATATCCCACCAAATGGAAACATCACTTTCTGCGGATGGAGTCCAGGTTTTGGGGTCAGAAGCGGTTTTTGTCTAGGACTGAGCCATTATTTTTGGCGTTTAATATTTGCATGGATAATCCATTTTTCATCACCCGCCAGAAGAGACGAAACAACGTTCACACGTTGGAAATAATGATCATCGGAGAATTCGTGAGGCACCCAAAAACCTTCTTTATGGAGTTTTCCCATATTCCTTAGATGTTTACGTATTGTTTCATGAGAGATGCAACTTCAGGGCCATTTCACGAGTGTGTTACCTTGGGTTAGACCCAATAAACGTCTTCAGAGCATCAATATCAATTCCAACATGTCGGCCCCTGCCATCACAGTTTTTAAGGCTAAAGTCACCTGAACGAAATTTGCTGAACCATCATTGACACTTACGAACGAGGTATTTTGTACTTGACGTCCACGTTTAACAGTTCTTTTTTTGATGGATTTTCTTATGTTGAGATTATGTGGAGGTAGTTCTAATGGATCAAATATTTTCATTTTTCATTTCGACCAAAGTAAATACAGACCCAGTGGCTACCAGGTTTATGACTCAGATCCAAGTTGACGATGTACAATTGTTTTTCTGCATGATTAGGTAGTTGATAACTGGCAAACACACCTTCAAACTTCTTTTGTGTACACAAGTCTTGTGAAAGTATCGAATAATAGCTTTATAGATATCAGATATGATGTTTCTAGACTGATCTATTTCTAAAATTGACTGGAATTCTGCATAGACTAGAACATTTATAGTGTTGGGTAAGGCACTACCAAAACGTGTTTCAATTCGTACATGTCCCTGTTTCACCAAGATAAAATGTAAATCTCCAGCAGAGAGATCAGGTGAAAGATTAAAGACAAAGAGTGTATATCGACTCGAATATTCGTCATATCCTATATCAATTCCTTGATCTTGAAACTGTTTTTCTGTTCCACTAAATAATGTTTCGTAGCTTCGTGCATACAGTTTAGCATCAAAATCTGGTTGTAAAGGTTGAGGAAGAATCCGTTTTCCATCTTCGTTGATTTCTATGAAATTGATAATGTATTGTTTGAAATTTACAGATTTTTCTTTCAATACATCGTTATCAAGACATCCTATAACAAGACGTGTAGGTAATTGACCAAAAAAATGCATTATCGATAGATGCTTGTAAGTTATCCTGGGGAATTGGAAATTATATGACTATATACTTCAAAGGATATTTAGTTGTCCTTTTCTGAAATGTTTTAGCATGTGACAGAATGACTGATGGCTGATCTTGACTTTTCTAGTTCAGATATAAACATATTGTAGTACAATTTTGAATCCCGATTCATCGTTTGACATAATACAAAACGAATCTTTACTTCGTATGAGCCAGAATTTTAAACTTACACCATTAGGCAATAACTTATTCTGTAAAAAAAAAAGATATCCGAATGTAGACGACCGATCATGTCGACTGTTTTACTACCATGTGTATTTATGTGTTGGTCTTTGAGTCCGTCATTCTCACCCTCGTTAAAATAGGGATCGCCAAAACTACTCACCTCACCAAGTCTTTTATCCACATGGACGATGTCAAATGACATGTCTTAGCTACACCATTATAACTCAGTAAAGTTTCTATGTAGGTCTTATACGCATAAACCTTTGCTAATACCTTTGCTTTTACATGATGATATGATTGTGCTGGATCTAAATATTTGTCTCCTAATTCCAATATAGAAAATTCGATGGATCCACTGTCAAATGAGATGGGTTGACTAATATCTTCCTTTATATCTATCTCTATTGTCTGAAAACTTTGTTTAGAAACAGGTCTGTATTGATGATCTGTAAGTGTTTCAGTGATCAGGTCTTCATCCTGATCTTTAACTTGAATGATTCATATCAGCAGTACATACGCATCACCAACTATGCTAGGTTCCAAAATATCTGAGTAAACATAAAGCGAATAAATTCCATCATGCATATTAACAGCTATAGTGGGATCTATTATTGTGTGATTATTATCAAATCTAAGTATTATTGATAGTACAGGATCGAGTGTTATAGAGGCTCTATCATTTATGTTCATGCTTACTTTTTGAGTGTTTCTTCTAGTTGGTTTAAGATTCTAATTAAATCTTCAGGTTTTTTATAATGATCTGGTGTAATATAATTTATTATGGTAGTAGAGTGAGAGCCTGAAAAGTATGGTAACCATCTTGTACCATCATGTATGTTATTCTAGCTATGTGGATACTGTAATTCGACCAAGGCAACTTACCATGAACCTTCAAGGTTGATAGGTCTCAGATTATGAATGATATAGTTTATCAGAGTATTATTAGCAAAATAATTCATAGAACTGTTACTAGGTAACGACACATACAACTGATCCATACTGAATAACGAGGAATTGAGTTATACATATCATTTTATGACGCCTGGCGATTTAGATCTGATTGAGGGATACAGCTATGAAATTGATCAGAATATCCTTTCCATTTTATAAAATACTGTTTATTTTCACTCTTTATTCATTAACATAATTTTTATTCTACAGCGCATATGTCATCGGGAGACTTTATAGTTTGTAAAATGTTTCATTGAATTTTTATACACTGGTGGATTTTTCTCTGTTCTATCGTAAATCATAAATATTTCGTCTGTTCATCCAGGCATATAACCTTTCTTAAATTGATGTTTCACTTTGCTAATACTTGATTGAGCTGAAATTTTATTTTAGTGTGTGGTCTGTAAAGTGTTTTCCACACCACAGACTGGTTAAAATCTACTTCTCTTATTTTAATGCTGCAATGATGTGATTGATTATAGGCACTGAACAAGATGCTTCAGTACAGTGGTACATTTATGTGTTTCACGATAAGTAAAGTAGTGCCACATTCTAGTTTTAAGTTTGTTTTTAATTATGCACAAAGCTACACAAGGGCTATCTGTGCTCTGCCCACCACGGGTATCGAAACCCGATTTCTAGCGTTGTAAGTCCGCAGGCATACCGCTGTGCCACTGGGGGCCTAGTTTTAAGAGTGCAATTAAATCTTTTTACTATAGATCTATTTGCTTCATTATGTGTAGTAAGAAATGAATGTCTTGTTCCTTGAGATATTGTAAAAAGAGACGAGTAGTAAACTTTGTCCCAGCGTCACTTTGAAGTTTACAAGGTTTTCGGCTATATTTTAAAATTTGTTTGAAAGATTTTACAAAGGTTGCACCTTTCTTATCCTTGAGTGCATACTTAGAAAATACGTGGATACACGTGTGTAAATAATTAAACTGACTATTATGTTGAGATTCACCAAATCAGTTTTCCATTGAAACGATAAGTCGGTTTTTCGAAAACATATATCTTACTGGTATGTACAGACTTAACTAGTCTTTAACCTGATTTAGAGTAACGGATTTACCTAGTGCTTTCACAGATCTAAATAAAGGCTGTACTTCACCAAACCAGCAGGATGTGTATGGTTATAATAGATAGATTGTAGATTTTTATTAGACATTATTTTCTACGCCATCCTACTTTTATTTGGTTTTTACGATCAACTTTGTCTCTAACAGTAGTAATAATTTGACCTTTATAGCAGATGATATTAATTCTTAGATGGCTCAAGATATTACTAAGCTTAAAAGGCTGGCAACAGCCCATGACGACTGTCAAGACACAAATGAACGAATAATACAATACTACTTTATTAAACATGAACCCATTTAGATGCAGTACATTTAGGCCTTTTACCACGTGTATCATGTTTCATATACTCCCTTCTGTCTACATTTTGAACAACTTCTTGGCGAATATTCATATCTTATAATTATTCTGCAAATTTTTTCTATTCTGTAGGGTTAAAATTCTTTTGTTTTCTTAGAAAGTCATTGATTAGGTTGATTATGTTACTATTTGGGATGGATCTTCCACTAATCACTAATTCTCCACGATCATTCCATGTTACATCCCCACTGGAATGTATCAAGTTTAATAGAATTTCAGCTTTCTTTTAATATTTCTGAGGAACACTGTCAACAATCTCTAAATTTTCATGAGTCGGCGATTCCATTTGAATTTTAACAGGTTCTATGGCTTGGGAATGAAAGGTTTGATGACGTTGTTGCAGCTGGTTTATGATCTTTGCTTTATTGTCTATGGGTAAGATATCATTTTGTATGACTGAATTCATATCTTTATCTTCAGAGTTTAATACTTTATGTACCAGTCTTTCATAAACTTTTAGTTGATAAGAGAATGTACCAGTTCTTCAAAAATGAAAACCATTTGTTTTACCATATTTTTAAATTCCAACAGCTTTATCAATAGCCCATCCTGTCAAACCACCAAATAATGAAAGTATT